TTAAGAATTTTATAATGATATTCACCTTGGATTCCAACTTGCATCGAAAACAATAATTCGATTACTAGCAGTTAAATTAATTCCAATACCACCAGCAGTTGTTGATATAAGAAATAATCGAACACGTGAATTCGATGGATCATTAAATGTGTCTATATAACTTTTTCTTAATATAATTTTTGTTTTACCATCGATTCTGAAATAGTCTTTTTCAGAAATCCATTGCACTGGTGTAGGTATACTGCGATTATTTTTTTCTGATAAAAGAGTTTGATATTGTTTTTCATTTTGAATGTGTAAATGCTTTAGAAACTTTTCAATATAATCCAATGAATATAAACTACGTGAAAATACAAGAATTTTATCACCGATTTCAGCGCATTTATCAATAATTGATTTTAATAATATAATTTTTCCACTTAATTCTACATCAAATTCACTTTGATTGGGTAAACTATCTAAGTAACGAAACCAAAATTGCTTACGCATTTCATCTAACCATGGTTTAATAGAATTTTCTTTTTCATTATCATTATAAGTTATTCCTTCCAGGGAATTTTTATTATTTTCTATATCAGTTTTGCTTGAATCAACAGTTGTTGATGATGATTTGTTTTGCATTGAATAATCTTTACCTATATCAATATATTCATCACTATCAGTTGATGTTGAATCAGAATCAATTGTTGCTATCGACGAAGTGGAAGTTCTATGTTTTCTTATTTCTGATGCCAGGGATTTATATTCATCCACTTCATTTCGAATATTGTTCATTGAAAAATCATTCAAATTATTTTCCAATGGTGACTATAACGAATCAAAACAGCTCACAAAATAAAATCCTTATTAATTATTTTAAAGGTTAAAGTCTACTTGAATTGGTTAAGGTAAATTAATGATCCTTGAGATACTGATTATTTGAATGCTATGAAATTATGTAAGTAACGATGAAATATGAATAAAGCCATCGACATATTAGAAGACCGTGGATCTTATACTCTATCCCCAAAATGAGCAATATTTTCTTTCTATCTTCATGACTCTGAATATTTCAAGTCTTTACTTTTTATATTTATCTTATTTATTTCGGTTTCACATGATTAAAAGCTGTTAGTGCAATTCCTTGCGGGATTAAAAATGTGAAACACGATGGACCTATTGTAATTAATTAAATGGACATCGTTTTGTTCCATTTCTTCAAGATAGATTTGCAGCTTACAGTTTATTTGATGCTTCAAAACTACAGTTTCTCTGTCACGGTCTGTGATGGTCTCTTAGGATTCTCTGTCACGGTCTGTAATGGTTTCTGGAGTTCCT